AGGCTCTCTGTGACAGTGACAGCTCCGATCCCCCAGCAAAGCGCCGAGGCCGCATCCTGCCCCGCTCTGCTTTGGGGTGTGTGTCCATGTGTCCCTCCCGCTGCTCCTGAGGAGGGGACGAGGCTTTCTGGGGTGGCTGGTCCCCAGGAACGGCAGGGAGAGGAGGGAGGACTCAGCCAGCTGGATCCCGGCTTTTCCCACTGGGATTCTGGGCTTTCTGGCGTGCAGGCAGTATGCGGGCAGGCAGCCACCGCCATCTACAGCTGATGTTCCATGTGCTCTTCCCCCAGATCCTGGGGGTTTTGAATGTTCCTACTCCAGGCCCCTAAAACAGGGGCTGCCCACTTGGTGTTTAATCAAAACCTCAGGGCCCCCACAGCAAACATTTACTGGAGTGGGACGCTGGGTTTGTTAACCCTCAGGGCTGCTGTCACCGCACGTGATTTGTGGCAAAGTTGAGAGATATGGGAGTTTTCCTTTTGTGGGTTCAGCGCTGCAGATGAGGGGACAGCGGGGTTGGATTCAGCATGGGGGGGGACAGGATCCCAACCCCAACCTTGATCACAGCTTGGGGTGATTTCCCTCCCTGCAGGGCTCATCAGCACAACCTCATCCCTGTAACAATCTGAGACAAACACGCTTTTCACCCTATTTTATTACTTTACAGCCCATTTTGCTATCCCAGCTCAAGCCACAGCGTGTTCCCTCCCCATTCTCGTGTCCTGGTGCAATACAGTCCCAAACCAACGCTGTGGACGATGGCAGAATCACTCATGTTCACACACAAACCCGCTCCCCGGCGCTGGGTGCCAGCATGGTCCGAATCCCGCAGCTTCTGAGAAGCCTCAATACGCTTTATTTCCCCCCACTGTGTGTTTATAAGCCAGGCAAGGGCCTGCAGGTTTATGAAGCGAACCCCAGGAGTCCAACTCTGAACAGAAGAGCTTCAAGCTGTGCCTCCCAGCCAAGCACCGAGCCCACTGTGAGGACTCGTCTCCCCCCAAAAGCCTCCGGAGCACAACGTGAGCCCCCACCAGCTGCACCATCACCTTTAAGCCCCAGTTCTGCCCCCCACCTCGAAGCACCCGCTCACTCAAGCTCCCTCCCCTTCCCCAGACCCAAGCAGCGAGGTGAGAACAGCCCTTTGTGAGAGCGAAAAGCTCCCCCCCGCAGGCACTGAATTTAACTGTTGTAGAGAGGAACCACCCTGGCGATGGCCTGCCGGCAGATGGGGCACCGCCGGGGCTCGGGCAGCGCCTGGTAGCACTCGTTGCAGGAGCACACGTGCCCACACTCCAGGAACACGCAGGATTTGGGGTTGCTCAAGCAGATGACACAGGCGTTTTTGAGCGTCTCTCCCCCCTCCACGTTCATTTCCCTCATGAGGTGCTCCTGGGCCTGCCGGAACTCATCCTGCATCTGCCTGAGGTGCTGCCGCTCGCGGTGGTGCTGGTACTGCTTCCGGAGGATGACAAAGAGGATGGCGCAGGTGGCAAAGCCGAAAACCACCGTCAGGATTTTCCAGAAGCGGACGTTGGATTCTTGTCTGTGGAGCAGGGAGTCGAAATCCACGGCGCTCAGGTAGTAGGGCATGCCCTGCTTCGGGGGCTGCAGCTTGATGGTGGCGTTATCCAGGACCAGCTCCCCCACCCCGGTCAGCGCCGTGCCCACCTTCAGCATCTGCTCCGTCTCCTGGATGCCCTTGGGGCGCTCCCCGCTGATGTAGTGGCCGATGACATCGGTGAAGGACTGGACAGAGGGGTGGAATTTCTCATACACCGTCTCCAGGCTCAGCTCGGCCGCGTCCAGCGGCTTCATCACCCTCACGGTGACGCCGGCGGCGCCCTCCTCCGCAGGGACCAGGTCGAAGGGAGTCGTGTTGGTTCTCTGGTGGATGATCTTCTCGTAGTCGTTCCTGGAGAAGGGGATGAAGCAAAGGTGAGGGTTAGTGTGTCCCCAAAGGCCTGTTTTGGGGACTGACAGACAGGACGATGATCATCAGGGGCTGGAGCAGGAGAGAGGCTGAGAACATTGGGGTGGTTCAGCCTGGAGAGGAGAAGCTGCGTGAAGACCTCAGAGCAGCTTCCAGTGTCTGAAGGGGGCTACAAGGATGCTGGAGGGGGACCTTCCTCCGGGACTGGAGTGA